GGAGATCCTGGCCTATAAGGGATGAGGACTGTGAGACATGGTAATTGTCTTCACAATCCCAAAGGCCAGGGAAAACCAGGCTTATCGTCAGGGGCCCCAAAGAGCAGAAGCAGGCTCTGAGTGGATGTCACAGGGAGTTAAATTTCTCTTAGAATAAGGAAGAACTTTTCATAGAGGGAACATTGTCGAACATTGAAGTGGCCTTCCTGATACAGAAGAGGTATGGGCTACCAGCTCAAATGAACAGACTATTAGAAGCTGTAAACCTGAGAGTTATATGATGTGGTTGTTTTTCTTTTACCGAAAGTGGTGTACGACCGTTTATTGTAAGATGTGTATTAATTTGTAAATTAGATTTCAAAATTAGATATTTCCTAAATATCTCCAATGACAAACTTTAGTAACCATTAAGGACTGGCTGAAGATATCTTCCAAGATACTTGGAAAATGATGGGTCATTTATGGTTTTTCTCTATGATTTCTTTTGTATTGTAGTATGTCCCAGTGAAAGGAGACCATGTGATTGGCATAGTGACGGCTAAATCTGGAGATATATTTAAAGTCGATGTTGGAGGGAGCGAGCCAGCGTCTTTGTCTTACTTGGCATTTGAAGGTGCAACTAAAAGAAACAGACCAAATGTGCAGGTAATGATAGGAAACTTTGGTTTCAAAAAAGGAAAAACATCCAAATATTCTGAAGGCTACCTGAATGTCTCCAAAGTCTGACTATTTTCCCAGTTTTATAGGATGACCTCCCAGCATCTGTGTGATCACTCTAGGCTACAAGGGTTCCTCATGTTGCTTCAGCTCTGGGACTGGAGTCACGTACTTATGTTACATTTGCTATATGGGGGGTTGTTTAATCTCTATTGAGTTGAAAGGTTTTATCTCTTCTATTGTTATCTGTTTTGTCCACATCCACTGGACAAGGAAGTAAGCCATAGGCTTAGGGAGGAAGGAGGAATACCTGGTAAGTGGTGCAAATTGCCATATCAGCCATCCATCTTTCCTGATAGTACGTCCGGGAACTGTCATCTCACAACTTCAGTCACATCACTGTTTTCCAACAATTCCTTTTGGTTGTTTCCTCGTTTTCTACTTGGGCTTTTCAGGTCGCGACACTCTTCCTGTCCACGCAAGCCAGAAATTTGGTGGTTTCTTTGCCCCTTATCACTCACCTTCCAGGTGTCTTTTGTTGCTTAATCTTACTAATCTATTTGACTCTATCTTTAAGTCCACCCTGCATCTCCATTTTGCAAGTTCAGGCCCTAGATACCCTTGACTGGAGTTGGCTGATTTAACATCCCTGCCTGTACACTTTAACCCCTCCATCCAGGCATTTGAGAGCCTACAGCCTCTCACACTCCACTTTCTTCAAAGCCTACAGGTTTCCTTGGCATTATACTCCAAAAGTCTTCCCTTTTCCATAATTATATCTCTACACAGCTGTGCATGAACCACACTGAACTATTTAACAGCAGGACTGAACTCACAGTGCGCTGCCCTTGTTTGCTCATGCTGGTTCTCTGGATTGCTCTATCCCCTTTTCAGCCTGTGGAACACATACTCATATTGTAAGACTCGGGCCAAATACCACCACCTCTATAAAACCATTCCTGACTTGCAATCACTTTTTCTCAGAGCTTTGAATGAAGTTTATTGTTTATATGTACATCCCCACTGCCCTCAAGACCAAATACTTATGAAAGGCAGAGAATGTTTGTTTCTAGTTCCTATAGTCACCAACTTAACAGGTAAACAAGTTCACTCTCAATGTCTCTAGTTTCATCATTTTGAAGTTCAACTCTTGTGAAGTTTTTAAATCTTGCATGGAGAAGTGTCAATGAATTGCCATTGTTCCATTTTGCTTTGAATAACATGCATGCCAGGAGTTTCTTCTATCCATCTATCTTCTGTAATTCCCTAGAGCAGAGCTACCTAATAGCACTTTCTGTGATGATGCTAATGCTTTACTTCCACAATGATTAGTATGGTAGCCCCTAGCCACACATGCCTGTTAAACACTTGAAATATGGCTAATTCAACTAAGGAACTGAATTTTAAGTATTTAATTTTAATTAATTCAAAAGTGAGTTAAAATTACTATTTGTGGGTAGATGGCTACCACATTGGACAGTGTAGCTCTAGAGGGTATTTATATTTTGGCTTTGTGATGGCTCCCAGTCTAGGGATTTCCTGGTGGGTTAAGGGGGAGGGTACAGCCCTAACCGGCCTTTGTTTAAGACCCAACTCCAGAGTGACTGCGAATCTTGGCATGTAGTCAGTTCCTCAGCTACAGAACTGTAGGTGGTTGGCCTTGCTGTTATGGAAATAACGACTATAAAATGGTTACTGTTTTAAATTATCATTGTAGGTTGGAGATCTCATTTATTCCTCTCTGTAAAAAAATCAATAAAATATATTTTTAAAAAAGGGGGGGGGGAGGGTACATGTGTTAATGCTGCCTTTGTTTAAGACCCAACTCCAAAGTGACTGCGAATCTTGGCATGTAGTCAGTTCCTCAGCTACAGAACTGTAGGTGGTTGGCCTTACTGTTATGGGAAATAACGACTATAAAATGGTTACTGTTTTAAAATTA